TCGTAAAACCGTATTACCAACAAGCCGCGTCTCCATGCTGGCTACGATGCGAACAAAGGCCAGCGCCACCACCACACTCGCCAATGTTTTTCCGTCGTACCGTAAAAAGACGAGACCGTCCAAACGACCATCCCGCTCTTTCTATTTGTCGAACATAGAGAGGTTCATCGCCCGCCGCGAGCGAAACATAGACGACGAAGAACACGAGACCTGACGTGAATTTCCAGCATTTAATTTATCCCACTATTGCGTCCGACGTCGCAAACGACCGTTTATCAGTACCACTTCTTCTTCTTCTTCTCTATCTTTCCTCCTGCATCCCCTTCCGCTTCTATCTCTCAAGCGACTGCGAAGAAATTGCGTCGCTAATCAAATAAATGGATAGCGGTGCGCCAGCCATTGGACAGTTATCTACGATATATAGTTTGACAAATTCGTTATCGATATAATTAATGATGCTGTCGATTTATAAGTATGTCGTAGCTTCTGTTGATAACTCTGCATTTGTTCCGAAGCGAAATGACTTTTTCGTTGCTTCATTTGTTTCCTCATCTCTCTTTTTCTCAGTCGTTTCGTCGGTACGGTTTACATTTGAGGGTACATGAAGTAAATTCAACCACCACTTGTCCCAAACGTCCCCGCGAATGAGTATCGCGTCGAATTTGTTCGGATTATCGTTGTTTCAACCATCCTCGACGCGGATTTCGACGTAGCGCGACAGTCTTTGACACACGTCATTGTTTATAAACTTCCTCGTGTGTAATTGCATTACATCCTACTTTGGTGATTTCTCGTTAATGAAGCTCGAGTCCTACATAACTCATATTACGGTCGCAGTACGCGCCATTTCTACATAAAGTATAAAGTTTGAATCTAGCTCCGACCGACGGCGACGGTCGTTATTCTCCGTTGTGCCGTTACGTCGTTGAATTACAGCGAGAGATAAATTTTTCGAATCACCCTCGGCGAATTCAGGCGAATGTCGCCGAATGCGCGAAGCAGCGATCGCCGCGTCCCAAGGAGATTTGTTAACTTCTGGCAAACAGAAGTTTATCAATAAAATTGCTTTCACGGCCGTAATACCGGCCTGGAGCCCCGCCAAATTTGGCCATCCAACTACCGCGCACTTTGTGCGACTCACACACTCGTGACCGATGCACCCGCGACTCGACGGCATACATATTTAGAATGCGCCGCTTGCTTTAATCATTTAGTAACTCTCGACGTGGTAATTACGTTGGCTCTGGTTAATTCCGCGCGCAAATATCTGTCGAGTTATTATTTTGCGCTGGACGTTATTAATTTTCCGTCGCGCGCGCGCACGTGAGTCGCAAATTACCGCGAACACATGCCCGCATTGCTCGGAGTTACTTCGATGTCGAGCCGACCGACAGAACTCACGATCGCGATCCGAAGCGGAAGGCAGCTTCTCGCATGCTCGTTTCCTTCCGTAATAAAGCAGAAAGTTCGCTGTTGTCACGCCAACAACAGCTTTAACCTTTTAAAGCCATTATAATCCGCTATAATGGGGTATTTATTTCAGATCTTTGGGACATGTATAATTTATAGTTGTAATAATTCACGAATTAACACAAAACTTTAACAAATACCATTTTCCATCTGAAAACTCAGAATGGATGTGCCATATCATTCTGGGAATTAGGGTTCAAAAGGTTAGTATAAGAGTTACTTAGCAAAAGGACGTTCGCTACGATCTTCAGCGAGAAGTACAATTTCCCTTTTTTGAATTTTGAAATTTTCTTGTAATTTTTACTACAATATTTTCTCCATGATATATGATCGTTATAAAACGACAAATTCATTGTGCGACGGAACGCATGGGCTGTTCGTTAGTCGAGCGAGTTGTAATTTTTAATATGTTGAAATTAACTTTGCTTCCCTGACGTACACACACGCGATACACGCCTGAACGGCAAATAACAGGATTCGGCAGTGAAGCTGGCTTCGCTCGAGATAAGGATGTTAGGGAGTTCCATCGTTGGAACAGGGTCGTCGCGTTGGGCATCAGCTGGCGCCTCGTTTCGCCGTTTGGCGAGAGCGAAGCTTCATGCGAGCAACGACGTCTCGAATCCTTAATCGCGTAAATGGAGTTTATTTCGCGCGTCAAGCCGCGCGAACTTTCGAGGCAGTTGCGCGCAACTCGGCGTGCCGTGCATACATTAGTGCGAGATGATTCCCGGCCAGCGATAGTAGCCACCCGTTTTCACGACATGAACTGTTCGGCTTTCTTCGGTACCGTCAAGTAGAAACGGAGACTTTCATCCGGTTTTCTCTCAAACAGTGCCTATAGACGTTTCGCTCCTTTCCCCAAAACTTTGAATATTCCAATTAATGGTACACCAATTTGAGGAAATTATTCGTCTTTAGACGAAATTATTTCAACTTAACAATTTTAGTATTGCATTTTTCTTTTACTGTGAATACGTTTGAAAACTTTCGGGGATCTCAGTGTTAGAGAAAAAAGAAATGAAATGATAGTGTTTCATAAAATAACATTAAATTGGGATTGAGAGAAATAAAACGTCACTCTAAGAGAGTACAAAGCCGCTCCAATCGACGGTATCGAAGAAAATAATGGAGCTCGTCCGGAGAAATTTGAAACGAGCGAGCGAACTCGAGACGCGGCGGGAGGTGTCGAGGTCTTTCGTATCAGCCGAGTATTTTCGATTCGATTATGAAACTCACCTCGTTTCGAGGCGTGGAAGCTATCCTGCGGCTGTATCACCTCGACCTGAGCGCTGAGTCGAGACTTGGGCAGGATGTCCCGGTTGGCGTTGATTTTCTCCGCGGCATAGCGAAAGGCCACTTCCTGCTTGTCGTCCGACGGATGAAACAGCCCGCCTGGGAAATCACACATCCATATTAAAGGGTGCTACTTTGACAAGATCCACGCGTGCACTTCTCCTTATTTTCCGTCTACGACCGACGTTGTCAGGCGTATCTCTCCTTCACCGGCGTCTTTCTCTGTCCGACCGTCTATATATCTACTTCTCTTTCTGTCCATGCGGTGTATCGACCGCGATAAAGATTTATGGTCCATTTACATTTTCGCGGTGCGATCGCTGGCGGAACCGCGGTAACGTCACAATGTGTTCTCCGCATGCATGTGTTTACACGTGATCCCCCGCTGTTGCACCAATTTCGATATGTCCGGCGGAAATTCTGGTTTGACTTGGCAAATAGCACGCTTCTGAAGCTCGGAGAGAAATCTAGTGTAAAAACCGTTGAACCGTCCTTCTCTCTCTCCTCCCTCTGTCGCCCGATGTTAACTATTTTTACATGCACCACAGCACAATTCAAAATAGGACTCTCGGACAGTTCGTGCCGCACGTTTGATTTATGGATTCGGGAGTGTTTTAGGCTAACAGAGATTATATCTCCCACACCGGTCAAATGTCCATAAAATGTTCTGGACAGTACGTACAGCGAACACTGGGAAAAAAAGAGTGTTTTAATAAAATGAATCCGGAAAATGTATTTTGAATTACTTGTTGACGCGCCCGTGCGAGAAAAATCCTACCTAAAATATATTTTATTTAACGTCAGGATTATATCGTAAAAAGTGTAAAGAAATAAAATAAAAATACAGAAATTGAAAAAATATCACGGGTAGGTGGTGTACGCGCGCGCGTGTCCCGGACTGCCGTAGAATAAAACTGAATTAAAAGGGATATTCGTGAAATATCTCTGTATTCGAAATAATAGCATTCCTATCGCGAGATGCGCGGTGCACGGTATGAGTGCAGGATTTATTTTGGTTCGATTAAAAAACGCACACAGAGGAAGGAAAGAGCGCGCCGGTGTGTGCGAGTAACAATACGTCCTGTCTCTTGTCATTTCCATCGCGTCGCGTCGTGTCGCGCCACATAAGTACTCTCCCGGCGGTGTTCTTCGGTCGGACCGCTTAAATTCCGCGTGCTCCAATTCATTCGGCGGGAGAAATTGGCGCCATAAATTGATTTTAATCTCGTGTACGTCATAAAGTAACTGTACGAACAGCTGCGCCGGCTTGACTCCACGATTTATAGAATTTGCGGGATAGATTTACGTCTCTCGTTAGCGGCCCGCCATCGATTCACTCCGCAAGGTTACCCGACTCACCCCAACTCATCTCCACGCCATTGTGACAATAATGAGCGGTAATAACGTGGCCAAAAAAAGGGTGTGAATAGCGCGGGAACGTGGGCGTGAGGTCGGAAAGGAGGAAACGCGCCGTTTCGCGCGAAAAGAATCAATTCCGCATGGGCTTTGTTTTTTTCAGAAAGAGAGCAGAAAGAGCACAATAACGTTTTCGGGGTCTAACAGATATCGAACGGTCGGCCAGAAATTCGTGCCATAGATATTGTTAATCGTTCGCGTCGCGCCGACATCCGGTATTTCAAGAGCCGTTTTCGTAAAAGCGTCGCAAATTATATCCCGTTGGAAATATTCGCCTACTTCAAATCAAACGTTTTTTTTTTGTTTCTCTTTTTTTCGGATAAATCATTGTAATCGAATTACTGAGAGATAGAGTTTTGCCCATTTAACAGAATATCGGATAGCGGTATTTTGTTAAATTGGCAAAACGATTTACTACTTTTAATTTACTGCTAAGCGACACTTCTGTGGCGGAGACACGACTAATTTGACTTAAATGAACGAAAGTAAATGTGATTTGTATCTCTGGTAAAGTATGTTTGGCAAAATGATAATTTGCAACGTTGATTTGCAATTCGATCTATTGCCCCACCGATCACCAAACAGCAAGCACGCTTTCGTTATGATAACCGAGGGATTTTCCTCAAAGCTCGAATAAACCCATTGATCGTTAATAAATTGCTTTGACACGCTGGTCGATCGGCGGCGCTCCCACGTCGCCGCTTTCGTTGCAACCATTACGCGGCGCAATAAAAACAGCAAATTGATTCCACTCCGGCACATCGGGTTTATTTCCGCCATTCCGTATATCAAGCCTCGGTTTAATTACGCGCGCGAAAAGCAAGATCGCGCCGTCAGCTTATGTAAATAAATCGCGAAAACTGCACGGCCGCAGCGCGCTCGCGCGCTTTTAATTTTGACGTGGGTTTGACGGCCCATGAGGCACATGTTTGTAATAACGTAGCGAGCGAATGGCGAGGCGCTGCTCTAAAACGGAAGATCGCTCGTAATTCTTATTATAACGACGCGAAAGACAGCTTTGTAAGCGCGTAAATTACGCAGAAGCGGCGTGGTCTTCTTGTTTGCCGCTCTCGCGGTCGATTCAACGTATCTATCCGTTGTGTATCGCCCGAACATCCGGTGAAATTGAGATAAAAATCGTGATATTTGCTGAGATAAATCGATCACCTCGAAAATCGGCTTTACTTCGGCTTGCTCATCTCGTAGTTAAAATTACAATCTCGCGACGTTTCTGCAACATGCGAGACGTCTTTTGCATACTTGTGCGAATTTTTGTATGAAAATTGGTTATCTGCATATTCATCACGCTCTGGCGTTAGACTCGTTTTAACAGGCCGAAAGTAAACTCACGTGTTCGCCTTCGTGTCAGTTATTCATTTCGCGACGGGAGACAACGCGCAATTTATGTTCAAACAGCAATAATTGAATAGGCACCGGCCGGAAATATCGTAGGAGCGGCGAGCGAATTGCAACGGAGGTATATCGCGCGAATTAGAAAAGCTGAGAGATGTGGAGCGCTTAAAATTCAATCGACGTAATGCAAGCCAAAGGAACTTCTACACGCGCTGTGTCTCTCGCCGGCGATCTTTCTTCGCGCCATTTTGGTAATTCGCCGAGCACTATCCTCCCCGATAACAAAAAGACATTGGCCGTGTATATTGGCCGCGGGGGGCTGAGGGGTCCTGCCGGCAGGTGGCGGAGAGGCGCACGGATGCATCACAATCGCATCAAAACTCGCGCAGCAAGTGCGCCAAAGCGAACGTGTATCGAAGCACCGACGATCTTCTCTTCGGGCTCGTGTATAATATCGATCCGTTTCTCCCGCTACTTCAGAGAAGAAAGCACTCGGAAGTCAAGTGCAACGTGAATTTACGTTTCGATAAAGGTTCAGAGTGCAACCGGGCCTTCGATGCATCATCGCTCGTCGCTTGTATCGCGTATATACTCGCGCGCGTCTCATAAGTATTTAGTGACGTCGACGACGATCGGGGCTGTTGAACAACAGCACGATTTCACGAATGGATCTACGTCGTTCAAGGAATTGGCTCGGCTCGCGAATAACTTTTGCGCTCAATTATTTTGAAATTTGTTGTCCGCGAAATTTCAGTGAAGTTTAATCAAATGTATATGCATGGAAAAAAAGGTTTGGTTGGAGGTATACCAATTTCTTCCAATGAATACGAACGATTTAGAAAATTCTATTGAAATTATCCGAAATTCTGCTTAAATTGACCAGAAATGTTGATAATTTCGATCGGATTCCGATTACTTCTAGCGGAGTTTCTGAGAGCCGATTTTTCAATAACAGCTTGAACTTAAGTCTAAGTTTCAACCCTGTTTAATTGTATATCGAACACTTGGCTGGAGTAGAGAGTAAGTTTAAATCAAAGTTTAAACTACTGTTGAAAAATGGACTCCGAATCGCTCATATTTCACCGAAAATTGGTTATTAACGACACGCGTGTTTTCTCAGACGTTATCGATTCTTTCGGCAGGTTTTAGCGACAAGAAATAAGTATTAAAAAATATTTGTCTCCGTCGGAAATTATTTATGACTCGACCCGATATAAGCTGTCGTTGTTTCATCGCACTTGCGGAAGATCAGACGAAAATGGAACGCGACAAGCTAATACGCGTATATAGGCGAGGCGCTTTTGTTATCGTAAATATTTGTCTTCGCGAGCAGATATGCATAAATACATAATTTTCGAGTATAGAAATATCACGTACACGACACAGTGTTACACACACTCGCCGTTTGATCCGGCTAACGATAACAATGTTGGTTTTCTTTCCGGACAACACACGATGGAATGTGCGTCAAACGATGCAACGAAAGTTGTTCCATTAAATAAACGAGATTTTATTTTCTATTGGAAAGGTAGTAGCGGCGAAAATTACCGCACTTTGTGATTTCGTAATCCTCTCTACCCATAATGAGAATTTAAATACAAATGGCTTTTATGGAAAAACAATCGAGTGCTTCTATGATAAAACTAGAATATAAACCTTTAAAATTTCCTCTTCAAAGGAGGGAACGTGCGATAATATTTTACATCGTGAAAAATACAAGGATACGTAAAAAATACAGCGCACTTTGAACAGCACAGCAAACTGAACGTTTATCTTTAAAATCAATCATCGGACAAAATAGAATAATATTATCGATTTCTATTTGTGTAAAAGAGAACAAAGCTCTCTCTGTTTCTCTCAAATAAATTCATCTATCTTTCTGTATAGATTTCAAAGATGAATAAGCGCCACGTTAATGCAAATATTTGCGAGATCCAAAAAGCCCGCGAATTTCTTCAAACTCGCAATATTTGCTGCACGGTTATAGTATACGTAGAATATACTATTCGTAGAATAGTACTATATACGTAGAATAAACTATTCGTCTTATATGCACGGACGTTACAGCCGCTCCGCGACATTACAGAGATTTCCGCAATTTGTAAGCGGAATGCTGCATCACTGTCCGTCTCTCTGTCCGTTTGTAGCCGACTGTTACTACTTTCAATGTATCCACAGGCGGGCGGTTAAACGACATTTGACTGTGAAATACCCTCGTTGCTATGTATGTACTACATGCGCAGTAGTACACGCGTGGTTGAGAACGGACTGATTTTCTCTCTGACGCGCGCAAGCCAGAACTTGGGTAATTGTCGTGGCGCATCAATAAAATGCACGTTATCCTGTGTGCTCGCCGCTCGCGCCATCAGTGTCAATTAAATAGAGCACTGTTAGTAACACAGTCTTTTATCGTTGCCGTAAATTTCAATTATTTACCCTGGCCGGGATTAAACATTTCATGGAGCCGCTACGGTCTAATGATATCTCGCAACTGTTTACGCAATATCGTGTACATGCGATATTGCGTAAATCAAGTGGAAGCGTAAACGCTGAAAGCAGAGAATGGTGTGTGGAGACCTGCGGAGAGGTAGCTTTAAATGAGATCGGACGGAAAAACTCATGGAAAATTCTCGAAGGAAAGCGAGTGATAATGTGATCGAATTAAATTTCGCGTATCACGAAGGGAGATCCCGGTATTTTCTCGCGTGTACGCGTCGATTATCGCAGTTTCCGCGAGGTGAAACAAACACGAAAGAATTACCGGGCGCTTGCGCGTATTGGCGTCGAGGAGAAACGCATATTTCCGGTTTTAGCTATCTCGGTAACTCCGCACCGAGATCGCGTTGGCGCGAGGTCCACTTGAAATTAACTGTGCAAAATAAGATTTTGTCTGCTTATAATATCCTCCGAAACTTCTCATCCTCAACTTCATCTCGGCGAGAGCTGAGTCACGCCCGCCGGCTCTTGGCTCGAGCATTATCGACCGAGACATTGATAATAATTTTACTGACGCTATTCAACACTGCCAAAAGGGTCGCGGCTTTCACGTCGGAGGAAACTGGAAAGATACTCACCTATCCTAATGAAATCAGGAAGAGCCGTGGCGTGGGCGGCGAGGAGCGCCAGCAGCAGCAGCAGCCACCTCGCAGCCATTTCCGGTTCCGGTTCACCCCGTCTTCCCCGCCCTCCGTCGCCGCCGCCGCCACCCCCACCCCGCTGGCGCTGCCTGCAGTTCCTCCCTTTCTCTTTCTGCAGGCTCTTCTTCCCTCCTGCTCTGCCTATCTCTGTCTTCCTCTTCTCTTCCTCCTTCTCTCTCTTTCTCTCTCTCTTCGTCCTCCCAAAGGAACTTACGCCACTGGAAAACAAGATTGGACAGCGAGTTCATTAAAATGCACATCGCGAACCCTCGCATCCGGCCTGAATATCCGCCATCGTTTAAGAGAAGGGGGAGGGAGAGGGGGAATTGTGTTTCGGGGACGCGCCGTGACGACCGATCATCGACGCGAAATAGCCAATGACGACGGAATGTCGTCGTCCTACAACGAAAACGCGCTGAAAAAGCCAGGAAAATCCGGTGATGATAACCCCGCCTAAGCCGCTCATCTAGATATCGGTCGTGTCGAGATATTAAGAACAGGATTATAGGGAAAAGAGACCGTAACGTGTCTGATCGAATTGTTCTTGGAAACGTCGGGGTCTTCAAATCGGCCACTGTACCGTTTTAGTACGTAAAGTTTCGTCTACAGAGTTTCGTCTACAGAGAAAAGAATTATACACGGAAACGCGAATATAAAGACGAAAATGTATTGTACACTGGTGATCCTTTTCCGCCCTCTTCTTTTTTTCTTTTTTCCCTTTTTACGTCGTACAGCTCCGACGGAGAGTGGGTTAAAAGATATTAAAAAGTAGAAAAGTCCCCCCATCCCCCATCTGTGGTCAGACACGCGCAGTATAGTATAATAGACATAAATGTCTCTTATTCGTCTCTTTTTAAATATAAGTTTTACGAGATGTTACGCGCAACGACTGAATACTCTGGCAGTTGCCGCAGCATTATGTAAGCACCGTGCTGAATATAATTCCAAAATATATTGCGCCCTGAAATATATTCCGCGAAAATAGCAAGGCGCGCTCGCGCTCCTTTCGCCTCGTCCGGTTTCTTCCTTTTGTTGCGACCTGTCCTGTGCTATCCTATGAAAGTAAATGCGACGTGGTCAGATGCCACACAGAAATGTAGGATGAACAGCCTCGTTGATTTTCAATCGCAACTTTGGTCTGGATGTTAATAAGCCGTCCAAGTTTTATCGCGGACGATCGTCGCGTTTTTCCGTATTTTAAACACACGTGAGCCGTCCGTTCTCTCCACGCATCCCTTGATTTATGAATTTCTCGATCAGTTTGAGGACCAAACATATTTTGATGTGAAATATTTTTCTACAGGATTACGTATGCGTGTCTATTTACGAAAACGCAGAACAATCGGTGAATCTTGGAATGAAAGTGAGATTTGTTGTCCGTGTATTTTTACAGTGGCGTACTGTAAAAATTATTTAATATATTTTTACAGCGATAAACGCGCACGCACCGCACTGCGTCGAATTGTTGTTGATTTTTCGGTGATCCACGCGAGCGTACGAGTTGCGAAACACACGATCCTCCTTGCCTTGCGCGCTTATCATTTACACAAAGTAACGTTGCGGCGGCCGAAACTGAAAGCAACAAAATAGAACGCCAACGCGGATGGTCGGCCAAGCGGAGGTGCCGGGAGAGCCGGCGGGGCGGGCTGGGAAAAAAAATGGGGCCGCGCGCGTTTTTAAACTGCAGCTGGGGGGGCTTTTTTTCGTAGCGCGCGAGTCCGCGAACGTGTAGCTACAATGTTCGTGCGTGTACAATATACGAGCTTCGCGAAAGGTAGGACCGAGCCGGATTGCGCAAGGTTGGTAAATGCAGACGGGAATACAGTGAAAATACATAACGCCGCGCTACGTCGAACTATATACGCGTCCTAGAAAAATATTTGTTAATCCGCGATGCAGATTTCGTAAGCGACGCAAATCCGTTATTCGCCTTTGGGAAATCCTCTCTTTCATTATGGACATTGTCGTACGGAAATATATTGCGTTTATCTTTCCGTTTGTTTTCCGCCCGCGAGCTTTTTTGTTCGCCCCACGATATATTATTCATGTAGTCTGCATTGGACGTTTATAAGCATTGCGAGGCCGAGAGAGAGAGTGGAAAGGAAAAGAGAGAGAGTCAATCGAGAACGCAATAAAGCGACGTTGTGCGCGAGTACGGTAAAAAATAATAATCGTGGTACTTCCATCTTCGTCGGCGCGCTCGATATTTACGAGCCCGCCTGGACGTTTCGAAACGCCTGGATTCGAGCGAATAAATTTATATCGTACGTTCTGCGGCATATATTTCAACTCATTAGCAGCATGTTCTTCTTCGGTTATCGAAAATAGCGCGTTGCGATTGTTGAAATTCAAATATTACGGATGTGCGCGGACGTGTAATTACATTTTTATCATATTTCCATTTCATGAATATTTAATATTTGCTACTGCCATTCGCCATTCCTCTCGCTCTCCCGATTAAGAGCCACATCCGAAATTACGCTATCCCGTTACACCATCTGGTTTCTCTCTTTCTCTTCTTATCTCGTCCCCTCCCTCCTTCTTCTCGCGTTGCGATAGTGCGCGTTTACAACTCTCTTAAATTATACTGCGAAGCAGTAGCAACGTACCGTGTACGGTAAACGTAAACCACTTTGGCGAATGCGATTTACCGACTCAATTTTGATACGGAATTAATGACAACCGCTAAACCCGCATCGCTCCTAATGTGACGTAATTATCACCATCAGAGAACGTTCATCGCAAAAGATGTATTACATAACGAAATAGGGAATAACGGCAAATTCGTACGCGCTGATTCGCGAGTTAATTTATCGCAGTAGCGGAAACTAACGCTGCACAATGGAATAGTTAAGCACGCGTGTAAAACGGCGAGATAACTTTGTTCGCAACAAATTTGAATTAACACGCGGAATGCGTTGATAACGCCTTTCGATTTCGTTTTTGGCTCTCTTCGGGTCGAACGCGTCTTGTTCAGATACTCGTGTAATCGCGACTGCTTATTAAAGCATCCAGAAGCGTTTTTCTAATTTCTAATTGCTTTGATGCTACTTAATCTATTATTCACCTTTTTCATCTCATGTGAAATTTCTCACGCGCACACATATATTCAATTATTTATTGCTGCCAAAATGTCGGACACAGTTGCGAGTCACGATGCACGAATTTCTAGACACAATAACAATGCCATACAGGCTAGATTCTCGACCTCCGGCGAGCGTCGGAATGGAGAGACCAAATGTAAGAGAAACGGTAGCTCTCTGGCTTTAGTAATAACGCAGCTACTGTGTACAACGTGTGCAAACTTGCCGCGGGCGAGTTAGCGCTAATTATTTACCGACGTCACGATGAACCTCTTCGGATCGCATCAAAATTGTCCAAATGTATCTCGTCCTCTGTACCCGTCGGAAAAAAAAAAAAAAGAAAACTCCTATCTCACGTGACGCACGAAATTCGCCACTTCGGCCGTGCGCGTTGCCATTGACGGATTACGGGGAATCACTCTCTGGATACCCTCCCGTCTATAGCTCGCGAATTAATTTAGTGGGACGACAAAGGCCGGCATTACAGTGCATGAACTCCCGGTGTTATACAATGCTAGCGGAGCACGCAGCGCGCCATTTACCTATTTATCCAGCCGCTGTGAACCGTTCCTAGAACTACCGACTCGCAGTTAACCCGAGAACGGCGTCGCCACTTTGCAAAACGTCTCGCCACTTGCCAGTCCACACCCACGAGACCTCTCTGACGTACGACCGGTTTCGCGACTCCCGCGTGTAACGCACGTCGCGCGATCACCGATTCTCTTTCCGCATAGCTGATCAGACCGCCGACTGCTCGCCCATTTCCTTGGAGTTGGACCGTGCGCGAGCGCGGGTGCAAACGCGAATTTCCGGTGCATCGGCGAAACCTGTGACGCGAGATTTGAAGCGCGGGGCCCACCTTTTTCATCGATTTACATCGTACGCTTCAGTTGCAGCCCGATGGGACAAAGTAAAATCAAGCAACGCAAATACGACGACTGCACATGATCATATGTTTTTTAATTATCGATATTAAATTTTAATTGGCTTTATTTTAACTTAATTGCCGATATTAAATTTAATATCGCTGTCATGTGCAATTGGTGCGCCTTTTTATTACAATAAAGCACAATGCGAATAGTTTTAAAAAATATGCGTTCCTAATAGCTGCATTTTAATACAGCCATGAATAATGGTACTTTCTTTTGCATTTTTCTGCGCAGCGCGTGTCCAGCTATATAGACTACGAAAAATGGCGCGAAGTAATCGTACGATGAATTCGTAGGGGGAAATCCGCGGAGAGAAGAATGTGTCGCCCGCAAAATTTTGCAGATTTATCGTCGCATTTTAGATAGACGGCGTATGGCGTTCTTCCTCGCGACGAGCTCACATGTCGTCCCTCTATTGTCGTTACCCCCTGTTGTCCTCAATCTCATCATTCTCATCCAATATCACCCGTGAAAAGCATCGCGCGTCATTTCGCATTTTTTTACTTTTCCATCGAACAGAGCCGCGGCGAGGGTGGAAATATATCCGCCGTGGGACATCATATAGTAATATTGACATCTTCCGAAAAAGAGGGAACGATTTCTCGAAGATAAATCGTTTAACAGGGAAAGATAATGTTTCACCGCGCATCTCTCCTCCGCGCGCAAGCGAGGTAACAAAGTGGGACAAGTCGTTCTTTGATTCAGGCGCGATATTCCTTCCCTCCTCAAAAGTACTCGATGTCGCGGAACGATATTGAAGTACTTTGGAGTGTCGAAATGGAATTCAAAACGTCGTTCCCGTCGAGAGATCATCGAGCCTGGTTTACCAGAAGAATCTACCTTTTCTCCCTTCTCGTTTTCCACGGTACTTCGCTAGACAGTCCGACGATGCACTTGAGTGTCATCGTAGGTACATCGTAGGTTTACTGACGGTGTGCGATAAGGGTGAGTGGTAGAGGAGACCCAGAAGAGATAGAATGAGCGACAGAAAGAGACTCGAAGAACCGGCATTGGGCTTCCTTCGGAGATGCGCGCTGAATTTTAATGAACGCTTTGCCTTTGTGCACTAAGCTCCCTTCCGCCGGAGTCGGTCCCGCAGGACGCGCGGGCGCGGGTGTGAAATTTTTATGGAAACACGAATCATTCGTCTCGCCTCGTCTTGCCACCTCGGCCCATGATCATCTGTCCCACGTCGCTTTCACGCCG